TATATAAGCACCAACTTATCCGAAGCTGTCTCTAACATTTCGGAGATTTTGTGCAAATTTATAATAGAGCACTTCTTAAGTAATTTTTCTCTAATAGTCCGGACTACTCAGAATGCAAGAAATGAATGGTCATGATTGAATTAAGAAAATACTATTTTTATTTACCTGTCAATCTAATGAATATAAAGCCAAGCTACCCCGCAGTCTAAACTACTGAAGACTTACTGCTTCCTTAAGATAGCATTTTAAGATTTTTTTGGACAATGTAATCAAGCCAAATTCAATAAACAATCACAATTTCTACTTAATATGTTCATATGAAATATAAGAGGATGAAAATCTTGGGGGTGGGGTGCCTATAATTGGGAGCTTTCTGCCGTTGAACCGCTTACACGGCTCAACACCGTCTTTGAATCTATCTTTTATATTGAGTTTGTCACATTATTCATGAGGATAATTAATCAATATTGAAATCTAACGAAACCAATTACATATTTACCAATATAAAAGTTTACTACCAAATGTATAATCATGTGAGTCATCATAAATTATACTAGAATAAAGGGAAAGAATATATTTGGGTTAGTTGTAAAATGGATTGGATAAGATGGCATGATCTTATCCCTTTGAAGATGTAATAAGTTCATAAGAAAAGCCAAAAAGAAAAGTTGCTTATGAATTCGATTGATCCCCCAAATGATATCGAAGGGAGAAAACGAAAGGATATATTTATAAGAAGAAAGCGAAGATGTTACGTATCAGAAGTTAATTTGTTAATGCTAAGAGACTGGGATGGGATGGCAACCCATACCTTTCTTTGCATATTTCTTCATGCAACGGTCATCACTCGGATAAATATTCGTATGGTGGCCCTTTTCATTGGCAATAAATAACATTTGATTTGTGGTTTTACCTATCAGAAACCCCCGTTGACCTATATGGCTATATAGAAAACTTGATTATATACGTATCGTGATTGGTGGCTTTTTTTTTTTTTTTTTTTTTTTGAAAAGGTATGATATTCGTTAATAAGAAATGGATACGTACATCAATGAGGATAGGGTACTAACAGAGAGCCTCGATAAAAATCTTGCTAGGATTTTCAATCCGGTTGAAGGGAAAAAAAAGTGTCCCGCACCAACATAATTAATTAGGAATTACTATCCTCAAAGAGAAGATCAAGAATTACATCAGGGGGTTCCTCAAACCAAGTCACAGTGTTACCATAACTCAAGCTCATACGTGCTAGCCTGTGTGCCACCTTGTTCGTCTCCCTTCCACTTTGGCAATGAATGAACAATTGAACGCGTGTCATGTAGAATGTTTCCAAAATGTGAGTTGTCATCACTTCCTTCATTTTTTAGTCTTGCCATCACAAGCAATGCATCACCTTCAAGAACCAAAGCTAGGAATTGCCACTCCTTGACAAACATAGTCGTGTCCCTTGCTGCCATCATCTCAGCCAGTTGCGAGGAGAAAATGGCAGTGTGTTGTGTCACCTTTGCTACTATAAACTCCCCCTTCTCATTTCGAATCACCACCCCAACACCACCTACCTCATGTTGTTCATCCCAGGCCGCATCAAAGTTACATTTTACCCAGCTCAATTCCAATTTCTTCCATTTCTTTGGTTCGTTGCTGCTGCGTGTTTGATTATTCTCATGCCATCGTTGGAATTCCTGTAACCAACTTTGTGCTCTGGAAACCAACTCCAACAATTCAAGCGCCTTTCCCTGCCATAAAAACGAGTTCTGTTCCTTCCAAATGCTCCAAATAATCACAAGTAACAAATCCAAGCTTTCTCTTGATAAATCACTAGCCAGTCTTGTGAACCAATCCACCAAATGTCCCCTATTGTCTATTCTACTTCGTAGACCCAACGGGCTTATTAACCAAATTGAAGCCATTCTAGGACAATTCCTCATCAAATGCACCAAGGTTTCTTCTTCGCCGTTACAGAACATACAAGTAGCATCTGTAGTGATTTTCTTTATTTTTAGATTGTCCCCGTGTTGGTAATGCATTCATACAACATCACCACACACAAATCTTTACTTTCTCAGGTACCCGAGCTCTCCACAAAGACTTCCACAAAAATTCATCTTAAGTGTAATCGAAGAACCACTACTTTCTTGTCCATTGACTTCTCCACTAATCCGAGCGAAAAAAAAGGCACTTTTCATTGTAAACTTCCCATTCGACTATGTGGACCAGATTAAAACATCCGGTGTCTGAGTGATACTAAGTGGTATGGTCTGAATCAATCGAGCTTCCTCCACCAAAAAAAAATACTATTTACCACTTCCATGTTCCATGCAATCCTTCCCTCCACCGAGATCAACTTCTCCACCGTAGTGGACTGATTCATTCTCATAGGTATAGGGTTAAGAACTTTGAAGAAAGTTTCCCTTGGCAACCAACTATCACACCAAATTTTAATAGAAGCACCATCCCCCACTCTCCATTGAGCTCCAGCCTTAATTACTTTGCGGGCTTCTGCTCTACTTCTCCAACCATAAGATGAACTTGTCTTCACTAGTAACGAAAGAAAATCAGTTTGTAGATAATATTTGGCTTTAAAAATTTGGGATGCTAGAGAGAATTGTTCGTGTATCAATCGCCACCATTGCTTTGCGAACAAAGCTAGATTAAAGGCATAGATATCCTTAAAGCCAAGACCACTCTCTCCCTTTGGTTTACATAACTTTTTCCACCAAATCCAATGTATCCTTCGCTTCCCTTGTTCCTTTCCCCATCAAAATTGTGCGACCATTTGATTTAACTCATCGCAGAAAATTTTTGGTAGCAAGAAGGTTTGCATGGTGTATAGGGGTACAACTTGGGCTACAGTTTTTATCAATATCTCTTTCCCGGCACTACTCGGAAGGCTTCCTTTCCAACCATTTAATTTTTTTCCACAATCGATCTTTAATGTATGCGAACGTATCCTTCTTCGATTTTCCCACAAGAACCAGTAAGCCAAGATAGCGATCATGGAAAATTACCTGCAGCATACCCAAGCAATCCGCCAACAACTGTCCATCATACTCGGTCAATTTTCCACCGAAAGCTACACAACTCTTAGCATAATTAATAGCTTGTCCTGATACATCTTCATATGTTTTCAACAAATGTTTCACCTGTAGGCATTCCTGAATTGTGCCCCCTGGCGAAAATGAAACTGTCATCCGCAAACAAAAGATGATTCACAACCGGAGTGCCCTTACACACTTTGACCCCTCTAATCCGTCCCTGCTTCTCCCAAGCATCGAAAAGAGCCGAAAGACCTTCCGCACATAACACAAAGAGAAACAGAGTAAAAGGGTCACCTTGTCGAATCCCCTGCTTCAAGTGAACATGTCCCACTGGCTCACCATTTACCTTAAACGAGTATGAAACGGTAGACACACACGCCATCATCAAATTAATCCACCTGTCCGCAAAGCCCAACTTTTTCAGGAAACCCCATTCGATACGGTCGTACGCCTTACTTATATCCAGTTTCAATGTCATCACTCCATCCCATCCAAAATACTTGTTATTCATATAATAAGCAATTTCCGAAGCTACCAAGCTATTATCCAAAATCAATCTCCCCAGCACAAAAGCTCTTTGATTAGTAGAAACAATCTCCGGAATCACCCTTTTTAGTTTATTGGTTAAAACTTTAGAGCAAATTGTGTAAATGACATTGCATAAGCTAATCGGACGTAACTATGTCATCACTGTCGGATCTTTATTCTTCGGAATAAGAGTAACATGAGTGTAATTGATCTTTTTCAACATTCTTCCCGATGAGAGGAATGCCCGGACGCCATTGCATACATCGTTGCCAACAATATCCCAATGTTTTTGTTAAAAAGACTGATATGAAATTATATGATGATAAAAGATGTTTTGTACATTTGATATAACTTTGTGATTATAATCTCTAAACTACATATTAATAGAATTCTCTTTGTTAACTAAAAGAGGGTGAAAAGATTATTTAACAAAAAAAGTTGAGAGTAGTAACGTAATTTTACAAAATAAAATTTTGTTGTTTTTGGTTTAAGGCTCACCTACAAGTGATTTTAACATCTCTAATTAAAATAAATAAATAAAAAATAAACCTCTCTTCCTCTCTCTCTTTCCCCACTCTAATGCAGATCAGTTGGTCAGTGCATTTATTGAATCACTGGGATAAAATGAATGACTATAACCAGTCAAAAGAACTTAATAACAACCACTAGTAGCTCCTAATAATAGCCAGGGCGTTTTGGACATTTTTTGGCTGAGTGGATTACTTTCTTTATGTAACTTTCAGTTTTTTGTCATTTTAAGTTTATTGCCTTTTTAATTTATGAACGTATGTTACAAAATGGTTATAAATACTACCTTTTCCTGTAAGATGGGGGAGTCAGATGTTTTTTTATTAATGAAAATACTCATAATGTTTCTCTGTTTCAGTTTTGTGTCTTTCTCTTTGTGAGATTGTTCAGCTTTTGTTTCTAATGTCTACGTCGTAAGCTGGTACCACTACTACAAAAGTGGCTTATTGTATCGGTGGTTGGTGTCGGTTTTATATAATATACTAGCGGATAACACATTTCCAACACCCTCTTTACATAGTGTCGAATATAACCAACATAAATTGTCTATGTCGCTTATAACTGACATAGCTTTTAATCTTCTAAATGGTGATGTCGTATAAAAAGAAAAATGTGTTGCTTTCAACCGACATAAAGTTAGTGTTGGTTAAAAAAATTTGTGTCGCTTCTACCTGACACTAATAATCATTTTTAAATATTTTAAAACCCGGCGTTGGTTGTAGCCGACACTAATAATTATTTTTAAATAACTTGAAACCAATTCAATCGGCCACCCCAAAAGCACTTGGATCGCCAACATGGCAAACCCCACTAGACTGTAACAACCTGTTTTTAAAAATTTAGGTGAGGGACCCACTACTATGTTTGTAAACTGGCCCATTGTTTTTCTTCCCACCCCCGTGATTTCTCTCTAGATCACTCTCTCTCTAACTCTTTTCTCAATAATACTCTGCAGCTTTCTCTCTAGTAACCGAGAGCATCATCATCACTACTTTAGAACCCAGCCAAAATTAGAACCCCAAACCACGAATTTAGCACCACAGTAACTAGGGGATCTGCTCAAGAGCCTTGCATGCATGATCCATGGTCTGGAACATATCAAACTTGAGCTTCTGTGCTATGTGGGTTCTCAAGTGTATTTCTCGAGAAATCCGACAAACTTACTATCAATCGAGCTGGCGCTTAACTCCTTCTAATTTGAGGTAAGAGTTTCCTCATTCTGCATGTTGGATTTAAGGTCTTCAATGTGTGTGTCTCCAACAACCCCGATGAAATTCGAGAGGAACCCCAATCGCCAATCTTCAACCCTAGGTAAGGTGTTAAGTGTTAACCCTTACAACCTTTCTGTGCAACCTCTCCAGTTCCGATGATGGAATCTGACGAGGTCTCCTCAAACTTGAGCTAGTTTCAGCTCAAAATTGTTTATTCTGGTGTTCTAGGTAAGCTTATAAGCTTTTAGTAGGGAAAATTACTGAAAATGAGAGAGATTTGAAGGATTAAGCCTCTGCATGTATAGGTGTTATTATTCCCTGAAAACCAGCAAGGAAATCCAACGAAGTCATGTCTCATCGAAGTGAATAACACCACGCACCAAACCGTTCCAGACCAAAATTCAAATCCGAGTGCATCTCAGTTCTCAACAATTTGTTTTCCCTCTTAAACTAATCGTTTTCATTTCCCCAAAAACTCAGGGAGAATGGAAGCCACGAAAGCCACCAAGGACTCCAGCAAAAGAAAAGGCGGGGAAAGGAAGAAGTCGGTGTCCAAGTCAATTAAAGCTGGCCTCCAATTCTTTGTTGGTCGTATTGTTCGTTAGGTGGTGTTAGTTAAGACAGACATCAGTCTGCTCCATCCGACAGTCTTTGTCAATACTTAATATCGCATGTATCCGACGTGAGCCTCGATGTCACTTTTAACCGATGCTACTATCCTTTTGTATTTTACATTGCTTTCCTTCTTCAGGGTGGATTAAGGGGACTAACCAACATCAAAAGCTTTTTCGTGACCTTAGCATTGGTGTCGGTTCTATTATCTGACATTGCATGAGTTTTTGTTGGATTTTTACCAAATATCCAATATAAATTATGTTTTCTTGTCGGTTTTTGAACCGCCAGTTATAGGTAATTTTGTAGTAGTGTACTAGAACTAAATTTTATAGGGTTTTTAGGTCTCTCATTGCACTAGGAGATATTGGACCCTACCTACCCATTTTATCTATCATTTTAATTCATTTTTGTCCACTGTGCGCTACATTAGTTGGTATCAGAGCCCTAATCGATTCTTGGGTTATCATATTGCTATTGTTAGGTTTTACGAAATCAATATTTTAGCTGATTGGAATTATCTACCAATTTATGATGAATTTGATGAAGATTACATGCTTGTGATTAAAGTAGCTAATGAAATTCAATTTACTCTGCAAATCGAAGCTCATTGTGTTGTCAATTAGGATTCTGCCCTAATTCTAGATGAATGCAATGGTGATGAAGATTTGGGTTCAATGGTTGAGGTATTGAGGTAAAATCTGTTCTACATTTCTATAACTTTTATGATTATGTTTGGGAATTGTTCATTGCTTGTCATGCTACAAAATTTTACTTCGAGAAAAGAAATTTTTCACATTGTTCAAATTATGTCTACATTTTTCAAAGTAAAAAATATCAAGATGTTTGCTGGAAATTGTATGTGCACTAGAATGCAATTTATGTCATCAAGAAAATATTAAATTCCAAGTAGAACATGAGAAAGTGGAGAAGAATGAAATTATTTGGAATTTTGTACTATTTGGATATGTTGATGCATGCTGAATTTGTGGTTCTTAATTGGCTATTGTGGCAAGTATTTGTTGGGTATCTGAAAGATAAAGGAAGACCAAACAAAACTCGGGGACAAGTTTATTCAAGAAGCATGATAGGTTTCTCTTTAAAGGGAATCAACTTTGTACACTTGAGTCTGGTTTAAGGTTGCAAATCATACAAGAGTTACATAACGATGGCCATGTGGGAAAGGAAAAACCTTTACACTAGTGCTTTTTCTCATTTATGGCCTGCCATGCGCAAAGATGTATATTGTTTTGTGGAACAATGTCGAAGCTGTCAAGTTTCTAAGGGCAAGGCAACGAACATTGCATTGTACATGCCATTACCTATTCCATCACAACCATGGGTGGATATGAGCATGGATTTTGTTTTGGGTTTGCCTCGTACTCAGCATGGTGTAAACTCAATTTTTGTTATGGTGGATCGATTTTTCAAAATGGCTTACCTTATTGCCTGCAAGAAGACAACATATGCTTCAGAAGTTGCTAAGCCATTCTTTTGTGGAGTGTACCAACTTCTTGGTACCAAGTTCGATTGTTTCAATCGTGACACTAAAGTTACCAAGCCATATTTGATGTGTTCAATGTGAAACATCTCATTCCATACAGAGGGGACATCGACGATACTGGAAATGCAAATTTGAGGGTGAATTTTCTCCAACCTGGAGAGGATGATGCAGATCAGTTGGCCAGTGCATTTATTGAATCATTGGGATAAAATGAATGACTATAACCAATCCGAAGAACTTAATAACAGCCATTAGTAGCTTCTAATAATGGTCAGGGCGTTTTGGACCTTTTTTGGCTGATTGGATTACTTTCTTTATGTAATTTTTAGTTTTTTTGTCGTTTTAAGTTTATTGCCTTTTTATTCTGAATGTATGTTACAAAATAGTTATAAATACCACCTCTTTCTGTAAGATGGGGGAGTTAGACTTTTTTTAATTAATGAAAATACTCAGAGTGTTTCTTTGTTTCAGTTTTGTGCCTTTCTCTTTGTGAGATTGTTCAGCTTTTGTTTCTAGTGTCTACGTCACATATTGGTACTAGAACTAAAGTTTATAGGGTTCTCATGTTTCTCCTTGCACTATGAGATAGTGGACCCTACCTATCCATTCTATCTATCATTTTAATCCTTTTTTGTCCGTTGCGCCCTGCATCACACTCCCACATTCTCTCTCACTTCTTCCTCTATCCTTCAATTTTAAAAACAAAATAAAAAGTTTCACACACACTTTGTGTGTGGGCATATACTAGTCCTAGCTTAAACCCGCATATTTTTATGGGAAGCAAGTTTTTTGTTATTTTTCTTTTTGAAAAATATATGGTTGAGAGAGAAGTTGAAGAGAAGAGAAATGTTAAAGAATGAGGGAGTGTGTGTGTGTGTGTGTGTGTGTGTGAGAGAGAGAGAGAGAGAGAGAGAGAGAGAGAGAGAAATTTATGATTATATTTTTTTTAAATTAGATATATGCTAACATATGGGTGACGGAAGAAAAAAAATAGAAAATTTTGATAGTGCGAAATTACATTACTGCCAAGGTTCTAAAAGACGCTAAGCGCTAGTCGTGCGGTGGATTGGGGCCTAGTGCCTAAGCGACTAGGTGGGGTCTAGGTGGGCACCTAGGCAGACTAGGCGGAACATGGGGAACAAGGATATAATGTGTGTTCATTTAAGTATGCAACAAGTCTCTTACAATTTATTGAAAAAATAAATAAAATGCAAATTGAAAGTTATCTATTTTCTGTCTAAGTGAGCCTGACCTAAGCAGGTGCCTAGCCGGGTCTGGACGGGTTAAGCGAGTGCTCAGGCGTTCTAGGTGGGCGCCTCAGCAGATCTAGGCGTCATTTCTTAATTTTCAAACGTCTAGGCATTAATCGGGACGGTGGTCAACAGCCTAGCGCCTAGGCGGGGCTTAGACGGAGATTTTTAGAACAGTGATTATTGCCTATTGTTTTAGTTGTGATATAAGACCAGATTGTTTTTTCACCATCTTTTAGTTGACAAAGAAAAATTTATTAATAAGTATTTTAGATTAGATAACCTTCAAATTTTATTAATAAATATTTAAGATTAGATAACCTTCTACTTTTTCTTTGGAGGCTTATTAGAATTGACTTACTTGACTTAAAACCTAATAGGAAATGTAATTTCTTTTTATTCAATCACTTACACACACAATTAGGAACAATGGAGGGAGAAGAGAGAAGAACAAAGGAGAAGAACATAAGCACATGTACATGTGTATAAATTAATTAAATTGGCTCATCCTAAATTTCGATTATTGTTCATTCTTTTTTTTTTCATTCTTTTTTCATTTTTTATGATACTCGTTATCCGTCAATCAAATCGTGCGTTTTCTTCCTCTCCTCCAAAAAGTGAAGGGAAAAAAAGTTCGCCCTTAAATCACGTGCCACACATGCATGATACATCACCAACTGGATCCGCCCATTTGTTTGTCTTCTTTAACACAGCCGACCACCACCACCACATAACTGTTGGCCAACAGTAAATGGTGAACCCATCTTGCCCTGCCGGCCAAAATATTGTAGGTTGTGTGGTGCTCTTACCATGTACCGACCCGTGACGATGCCATAAATTAAGTGGGATAGACAACGACATATGATACCAAATAAATAAGCTAAATCCCATGCATTTTAACCTATATTTTTTTAAGTCGGACCATGATATTGTCTATATTATTAATTTTCTGAAATTTCAAAAATGCCCTTTATTTACAGGCAATTGAAAAATGAACAAACTAAAATAGTGAGGACTAACATAGTAAAACCATAAATTGGAAAAAAAAAATAGAAGAAATAAAACTGGTAACATGTGTTGCCACTTAGTATTCTGATTTAGTGGTATTCATTTTCACTTGTAAGTGATGTGTCTTAGGTTCGATTTTTGCCAAAAGCGAATTTGAACTATATTATTAATAGCTCATTGTGAGGCTTAGCTCACTCCCTGGAGATAATATCATTTGTACAATATTATAATAAAATATATTTAAATCCGCCTAGATACTGGGCACTGCCTTACTAGTTCTTAACGTCTTTTAGAACATGTGTTTATATCTCTTCAAATACACAATCAAGTTTTCAGTAATTCTCTATATTTGTATCTTTTATTTAAACGTTTGTCTCTCTCATGAAAATATGAGATTTTTCCTAAATTATAAGAGATAAATGTACAAATGTAAAAACTAAAATTAAAATTTTGTATAATCGTCCATAGGGCGTTGTCGTATTTATAAAAATATTTTCTGCATGTGCAAATGTGAAAAGGGAAAGAGATGTGCAAGGGAAAAAAAATTATGTACGTGCAAGAGCTCGAGCGCAAGAGCTTGCACGTGTAGAAAGGTAGTATGATGACTTTCACCATCGCAATAAACAATATGAGTTATTGTATTATTATATAGTAAGTCTAATTCAATTTTTATGCTCATCAACTCATGAATCGACACGTGATGTAATTAGATGATATGTAATATAAATAGATGGATCAAGATCCTCTTCTAAGCTATGGGTGATCATCCTAAGCTATGGATGAGGATCGTCATGAGCAAACCTATTGGACCGTTCAAATTTTATCCAACAGCTATAAACAACGCATACCTCTAAAAGTTATAATAGTTGTAACCACTTGATAAAATTTGAACGATTTGATAGGCTTACTCAGGAGGATCCTCACCCTTAGCTCAGGAGAGGATCATGATCCGTGGTTAGATGACTCAAACACGATCCAATTGCCAGTCTACTTGGTGTCCATTAAATAAGGTTAAATAAACATTAATGGTTTATGTGGTAGCGCCAACAATATCACAAATTTTTTAATCATCCAGTTTCAGTATCACTAAAGAAATATCATCTATTTATTTTTTTTAACCATGTTTGTTTGCCTAACTTAACATCCAATTACATAGTAGAGTAGGCAGCACTAGGGACGGGCAAAATACTTGCGGTTATGGGTAACCTCAGTTTGCCGTTCTTTTAAACTTCACGGTTATGATTATAGATAACCGTTTAGATAAATAAACGATTATGGATATAACCGTTTACCCATAAAATTTAAATTGGTGGTTATGAGTATTAACCGCTGTTATAAACGGGTAACCATTTACCCCATTTATTTTACATATGTAAAATTAACACAAACCATGTTCTCTATCAGACAAAACTTAGATCAATGCTATTGACTATAGTGCATGGTTTCTGTAGCTAATTATAATGTCTTCTAAACAATTTTCGTAACCTAAGAATACTTAGCAAATATTATATTACTTTCATTAGTAACAGTTAAAAATATCATCCGTAAACTATTATTTCAATTATTGAAATAGTATAAGGACTTAAAACATTAAAATACGGAAATGTATGATGAATGTACCGATAACGGTGTTTAATTGTCAAAAAAAAAATTTATGACAATTTTTTTTTAATTTTCAAGATGTTAAAAAACATGTAGACGGGTGAAAAAGGGGTAATGGTAAAAAAAAATGGGTTAAAAAGGGTAAATGGGTAAACATGTATCAAACAGTTTCGGTTAAATGAGCATGCAATTATGAGTATGGTTAACCGTTTATAAATAATTATGGGTATATGTATAACCGTTTAAGCAATTACCTAACTGGTAAACCGCCACATCATAACGATTGTCCATCATAGGCAGCACTATATATTTTTAAGTTCAAGTGCCAAAAATATCACAATTATTTTAACCTAAATTATTTGCCCACCACTCCAAACTACCTTTGTAGAATCTTAAAATGTGTGGTCCAAATAAAACTTGTCCCCTGCTAAATGTGTTATGTCCATTAATAATGCATCCAATCTATAGTGGGAATATTCTCGTGACTTGTGTATTTGCTTAGAAGCGTCCTATTGCCCCGCCCCACCCCCACCTTACCTTATTGTAGTAGAGCATGTGTGCTTACCATTATTAATTATGATGTATGTTGAAAAATCATATTTTTATACTAAAAAATTAATTATGGTACTATTTTCTTTATTATTTATTTTATCCTTATCGTTAAAATTTAAAATTTTTAAGTCATTTTTATTAGTTTTCCTTAATTATAATGGAGAACTTAAAATCCCCCTTATTATAGGGATGCAAAGCCTTATACTAATTCATGGCTTTGATGGTTTCTTCCTCTTTTTCTTTTTCTCTTAGACATGCACTTGATTATTGATGTACTAAAAAAAAATAAAAAAACTTGATTATCAATTTGACAACAAAAAGAAAAAAGAAAAAAAAAAGTCTATCCAATATTGACATCTTAACTTGCATAAATATCTTTTTTTTGTGAAAGCAATATTTCTGCTAGACTATACTAGAAAAAAGAGGATGGTTCAAATCCAACAGTTGATCAAGGAAAATATCCTAATGATTACCAGAACAATTCAATATTTGCAAATATCGGTAATCATGGGGTGGGTTCGGTTTCATTTAGTTTGGTTTTTTGCCAAAACCAAAAACGAACCAAAACTTTGATTCGGTTCAATTTTCTTTCAGTTTTGATCGGTTTGGTTTTGTAACAACCCGTCCCTAATTTTAGGAGTTTACTAATTTTAAAAGAGTGAATTGACGAAAGTGCCCCTAGAGGCGAGGTTATTGACTTTTGTAGACCATTATTTCGTGACACGTATGAGTTACTATTCTATTGTATTATCGAAGTACTCAACGGTATGAACATGTAGGCACAAACGGAATCGAATTCGAAGTTACGAAGAAGATTTTACGGAACTACGAATCTGAAAAATACTTTCGTAAACAAAATTATTATATTATATTTTATATATTTATTCAAACTGTTATATTATTATATCATCATTTTAATATTTTTTAAAAAAAGAATATTTTATCATTTTAACTATATTTCTGACCATGGGGCCCACACGTCACAACTCTCCACTCTCCTTTTGCCAAGTGGCAATTCCTCTCCCACAATTTGGATCTCTCTTCTCCCTCACTTTTCCCTTATGTCTCTCCCGAGTCTCTCCTCTGCATTGCCGACAACACCATCACGTCGTCGGCGCTCCAGCGAACCTCACCACACCGCACCCACCAAACCACCTTCATCCTCCTTACTTCTCTCAAACACACTCTCCCTTTTCTTGATACTGTGCTCGCTGCACAGAAGCAAAAATGGCAACCACCGTTGCCATATTTCTCGACAAGATTTCACGACAAGAGAATCCCTCTCTCTTATCCTTTCTCTTCATTTGTGAAAGATCTTGAAGATACGGGTTTATGTTTGTAGGATTTAAGGATTGAAACCACGATAGGGATACTTTCCCCAGTTTCTAGTGAAGGACCGCGAGGTTGCAGACTTTTTTCCGGCAACGGCGAGAGACCACGATGGCATATTCTTATTCCTTACGTCTTTAGCTTCATTTTTGTTTTTGAATCGTTGAAAACGATTAAGTTTCAAACCCAAATCGGAGCTCGGGAAGTTTCCAGGCCAAATCATACGAATCCGGCCTTCTTTTTCGTTAGGTTCGGCAACCTGCAAGCCCAAACGGGCCAACCTAACCCGGTTGAGAAAAAAAGGGCTTAAGCCCAAACCCAGCCCAAATCTTATACCCAAACTGTTCTAGCCCGACCCATTTATGAAATAGGCTCAATGTAGGAATATTCTCAAAATATTCCTTATATTGACTTTTTCGAAATTTTATTGGAAACCTTTATAGGCTAATTTCAACGTCCCGAGTTCATTTTTGGTATCCATTTAATTAATTATTCCGAAGTTTTAAAATAGTTGACCGCCTCGGCAACTCAGTTGACTTTTTAGGGTTGATTGTTGACTTTTTACAAAATTTGTTCGGGACCATTCTTAGCGTATTTCAACGCTCTGATTCCAAATCCACACTTCGTTTTCTCAAATTTAGTCGTTTTAGTTGAGTTTTACTAACGGGCCCAATGTCATGTTTAGGTGCGATTATTATCGGTGGCTCCAGCTTTCTTAATTCGAACGGCTGCGACCTCGCAAGTACTTACGAATGAGTCTTTTCTTTATATATATATATATATATAGTGTGTGTGTGTGTGTGCGCGTTTGTTAGTTTCCATTTATATATTTCATAAATAATTTTCTATGATACGCCTAGATAGAAATCTTGCAATTATGCTACGTCATACGGGATGCAAAAGTATGCGTAATATTATTGAAGCCTTAATTATCTTTATGGCTGTGAATAACATTATGGTGATGTGAATTATTGATTTACCATTGTATGGTTTTATTTATGCTATCTGCTCATCGTCCACTGGTGTTAGTACTCGCTCGGGTCAGGGTCAAGGTTTACGTGTAAGTTCACATCGCACTATACGCTCACTTTGGATCCATAGTAGGTGCTAGTCCAGTCCTAGATTGCTATAGGCAATTAGGACTCGTATGAGATGCGCATAGTGCCAGTTTTCACGTGATTGTAATACTAAAGCGTAAATAATTATTAACCCAGTCCTGTTTATGTTAGAACATATATGCATGAACTTATGTGTTAGCATATGTCGATGAGCACTCGATATGATATGGTTGCTTATGCGAGATTATGTGATTTCCGGACGTTAGGTGTTTATTTACGAAATGTCTTGACATATTGCATTATTGAGATATTGCTGATTACAGTAAGTATTTTCATACTATATGTAGTATGAATACTTTGGAAACTATACTTGTTTTATAGCGAGAGGTTAGTATGTTTTCGAAAAGGTTTTAGAAAACTTTATTTTTAGGCACACTCACTTTTGTTTTTCGCCCCTCCAGGTTTTAGTAGCAAAGCTTTCGTGTCGACGAGGATTCTTTGCAAATCTTGGTATAGGTGGTTATCTTCGATGGTAAAATTCTCAATCTACTCTATTGTACTTTACTTATGCTTTGACATCACATGTGAAATGGATTCATTTCGGCTCACAAGCGGACTCTTATATTTACGCACTTTTAGGTTTATATTTATTCACACTTTCCACTTTACTACACTTTATGGCTTTGTCACCTTTTAGGTGACACCTATCACAGCTCGATTCGAAGTCTAAGTGGACATCACAGCTCGGTTTCGAACCTCCAAAGCCGAAATCGAATCAATAAGGTTCGGTTCGGTTTTTTCTTTTTCGATTCTTTTTATTTCAGTTTCGATTCGGTGTTCGGTCCCTTTTTTTTTCAGTTTTTTATTTTTTGAACCCACCTCTTGTTAATCATTTGATTATAAAATTAAACTACTCTATTTATGGTGTAATATAGAGTAGAGGCAATTTATACATGAGTCATTTTATTTTTTCATTATTATATTAATCTTCCCGACCGTTGATTTCTTTCTATATCTTTCTCTCTGTACCTTCTTTTAAATTTCATTTATTTGGAATAAAGCACATTTATATTATTTTGACCGGAAGCGTATGATCGCTTTTAAGACCATCTCCAACCCTGGGCTAAAAGCCAAATTACCCTCCCCCAAACACTCTCCAACCCATGCTAAAATTTTAGGCTAAATGCCAAATGCTATTTCTGGGCCAAATACCCCCCAGCTTTCCCCCCGGGCTAAATGCGAAATGTTTATCAGAATTTAATTTTTTTTAGATTAAAATGTTCATAAAATTAATTTACAATAATCTACATATTTATTTTTTTAATAAAAATTGATTTAAGAAAAAAATTGAGGCTAATTTCATTCTTTAATAATTCTGGGCTAAAATTTTAGGGTAGAAGTGTTGGAGCAGAAAAGATGTTTCTGGGCTAAAAACTAAATTTTTCAGGTTAAAAAATTTGGTTTTTAGCCCAAGGGTTGGAGATGGCCTAAACGCAGTAGGACTATTTTCTCGTAATAAAACATCTTCTGGTGAAAAATGAAGAAAAAAACGAACTAACTTTACTTTTCGTTGATATTTCTTTAAAGTTGGAGAATTGTTCATCGTTTACTTTACTTGATGATGTAATGCTTGACAGGAAACCCACTCTTTGTGATTAACTCGTATGTGACAAAATACGTAATTGCACCATCACCTCAAATGCTGTTTTCTGCAAGACCCGTTTGGGCCACGTGGCATGAGCACGTGCTGCCAGCCCAATAGTCCACTCCGATTTTGCCACGTGGACGGTGGAAGTCCACACACGCTTCAATTCCCTATAGGCTAGAGGCTAGAGTCTCAAGGGGCTCTGTCCTATGCTATCGTGCGTGTCTGCTGAAGCTTTCTCAAACCACTAGCCCCACTCCACGAAGCCGTTTACTTTTCACGCGTGACCACCGTAACCCTATCATCGCTCACCTCCACGTGCTAAGCACGTGACAAACCGGAGACATATCGCAACACCATAGCAACCTTCTCCGACTGAGCAATCATTAGCTACATTGACCTCTCACCGTTGCCGGAGGTCGCACCGCGATCATCCATCCACGTGGCTCGTTGCGACGACCGATCTTACAGACGCATGTAACAAATAACTCAATTGTGTGAACATGCCAATAGTAACATTGTCATTTAGTCCAATAATATTGTTTTTTTTGTCAAACAATTGATTTGTTAAATTAAATAAATAAAATTTGGACTCATGCCGATGTGCAAGGATTACTCTTCTCTACCGTTGTGGTAGAGAGCTAATTGCTTAGTCCAATAATATGTTAGTACATATTTTATTGTTTTAAATAATTATATACAAACTCGGGATTGAAATTCGCTACTGGTGTGGAAACAAGATTTATGGTCAGGAAGAGATTGAAATGTCTTTGTGAGTCTTCTCAACCCTTGAAAGGGGTGGATAACCGTAGCTTACTATTAGTTGTCTCCTTTAAAAAAAACAATTATATACAAAATGTCCGTTAATAAAAATTAATATCCAGTTCAAGAAATAAAAATCTAATATTCAAACAACCAGTGAAATAATCTTCAACCCAAATACCACATAGAAAAAAAAAATCATAGTTATAGTATAAAATCTTTACTACATAAAACATCAAAACCACGTTAATGTAAAAAATTAACTAAATTGCCAACAATTTTTATACAAAAAGGGAAAGTATTTAATAAAATGACCACAATCATAATAAGTTACGATAGATTGATCTTTTTGGCACTATCCCAAACATAAAAATTATTAAAATGAAATCATGTACAAGCAATGGCATGTACCAAAAAATTTTACTTCTCTGCGAACATGTGCCGAAAAAATACAATCGAAAAAAGCGGCCATCCATATCTTCAATCATTTAGATAAATTACGTCACAACACGATTGAAATCCTGAAATACTAATAGAAAAAGACCCTTCCTCGTCCCTCCGTCTATTTAACCGGAAATAGCCAGTACCCGGTCACCACCCTTAGAAAAGTCGTGTTAATTTCTAGGCTACCCCTTATCTTGTTGTGGGTATAAAATCCATACGATGGCGGGGGCTGGTTTAAGCTCTCTCCCCCCCCTTTTATTATATTTCCCCTTTTGCCATCGTCGGATTCTGGTTATTACAGTTATACCAATCAGGTTATGATAGCTGTCGGCTACCGGAAATTTGGGAGCCGAAGCTCTTCCCCTGCTCTCGGCTTCCCTCGCCCCAGGTATTTCCGATACCGACGCTTGAGGTAACAGGTAACTGCTCCACCCGCTCCAAACGAAACACCACAAAAAGTAGTTTTTTCCGTTTTTGTCCTATAGATATTACATTATTTTTTTCACGGAGCATGCCCAGCCCGAAGAGTTCTAGCCGGAGGGGGCAGCCGGAAGAGAAGTACCGCAGGCCGAGACCGCTCTCTGACAGATCGTCGTCGTTCCACGGCCAGTTTCCGGAGATGGCGACGCAGCAGCTTCGGAGGCCGAAAACGGTGCCGGACATGGCGTCGTTCAGGAACGCGGTGGGAACGACGGCGTCGTCGATGGAATTACGGCCGAAGCTGACGAAGCTGCTCCTCAACGTTACGATCCAGGGGAGCGTCGGGGCCATACAGGTCGTGATGTCGCCGGAACTGACGGTAGGAGATCTGGTCGCGGCGGCCGTGCGGCAATACGGGAAGGAAGGTCGCCGTCCGATCTTGCCTTCCGTCGAGCCGTCGTTGTTCGACCTCCATTACTCGCAGTTCAGCTTAGAAAGTAAGCGTTTATTGTCTTTTCGCCTTATAAAATCAACGTCCCCGATTTAATTTGGTATGCGATTGATTAACACGTTCCGGCGCGTATTGATTGTGGTAATTATCTGTGGGGCCAGGTTTGGCTAGGGAGGAGAAGCTGATGGAGTTGGGATCCAGGAACTTCTTTCTGTGCCCTAACGCAAAAGCCGTGGGCGGTGGAGGTGGCGGTGGAGCGACGGCGTCGTCCGCGTCATGTTCAAAAGAGGCGGAGAAAGTTTCAAGGAATGGGTTTGCGTGGCTGAAGTTCATGAATTTCATGTTGTAGTTGGGATTAATTAGTTTGGCCACAATTAATTAAATGTTAATTATTTGAAAATTGCATGTGGCAGTGTATATATGTAGGTGTGCTGTAGAAGAAGGTTTTATAATTCAGGTTTTTATTAGCACAAGAAAATGGCTTAATAATAAGCTTTAGAATTTTGGAGAGAGCTTTCTCTTGATATATGTAAATATTCCTTGAATTATATAATAGCACTTGCAATTTGTACAGTTAAAATTTTGATTAGATTTTACATCAATTATGCATCTTTAGCCGTTCAAAAAAAAAAATGAAAGGGTTTTTCCTGCATTTTCAAGTTTGCCCACTAATTTTAGCACTCCATATATAAGTATATATTTTTTTTAACAGAAAGCGATTGACACTTACTACTACAATCTAACGGTATTTTTCACTTGTTGTGAGTACAAAAAGTAATGTTTAGAGAGATTAAATTTGTAAATAAAATTACAAACTAAATGATGTTTTACTAATAGGAATGAACACGTTTATCAATTCTTAAATTACAATTCAATTTTATGCCATTAGTTTATAAAAATTTGTCTATAAATTTAATCTCTTTACATTATCTGAGTACAAAAATGTCATTATAAATTAAGAATAAGAAGATAATTTAGGGTAAATCTTAAATATGTATAATAATTGATATATTATTTAGATGAGGACTGTAGTTATAATATTGAATGCCGCCTCATCCTCCTTCTATTATCATTGATTAAATCATTAAAGTGTGTAAAACTCCCCTCCATTATTATTGTTTGACTAAAAAGGACGTGTACAATCACTAGCTAGATTATGTTAGTGCACGCGTAACCGCTAACTTGTAAGTGGTGGTTGGTCAGTACACTCATTCACTAGTATCACATATACGGGAAATTTTTTATTGTAATCGGAACACGGGTAGTATATCACGTGTTTTTATATAAGTAGTGAAATTTTTTATTTTTTTAAGTTATTAATATTTTAGCACACATATCATACTATTTGTATGGTGACACGTGGTATACTACCTTGTATTTCGGTCACACTGAAAAATCTCTCCATATATACTTATTTTCTAATTTGGCAAATCAAAAGATGATACGCAAGTGACCCTTTACCACAATGGTATAAAGGTATTGAGTGTAGAGCAAAAAATAATCACAAGGCGACACGTCAATTTTTGGGCAAAAGAGGACAAAAATACCCTTGAGACATAACGGGTTCCCTACGTGCGAGCAGCTGGCAATCATTCCTCAATGAAGTCAAAAGTGCCAAAATAGGTAACAATTTAAAACCTATTTCATTCCATATATTTTCTACTTTATTATTTAGCTAATCAATTAGTTAAATAATTTATTCATTCCATAACTCCTAAAACATTCCTTCCAAAATCATGATAATTAGCTAATTAATGGGTTAATTGCATAATTAATCCCTTAATTGTCAATTAAGTCATCATTTTATCCAAAACCTACAACAAGGCCGGTCATCCTTCACCCTCAAAGAAATCAACCATGCCTTCTACCTTTTCTATCACATCTTTCCTTTTTATGATAATAATTAGCTAAGTTAATTAGGGAGTTATTTTGATTAATTAGCTAATTATTTCATAACTCCCAATTTGAAACAAATGAGTCCACAAACAAAGCTAGGTGGCCGGTCCTCTCTCACCCAAGGAGGCCGGCCACTCCCCTATAAAAAGTCTCACATTTTCTCCAAGAGAGGTCTCTCACACACTTGCAAAATTTCTAATACTCTCTAAACACTTTTCTCTCTAAATTCTAACTTTGGCATCGGAGATTTTTCGGCCAAAGCCCCCCCCATTCATTTTGAGCGCGTGAAGCTCTTGGCCTTGACCCTAAGGTGTTAATTGTTTTATAGGTACAATTTTGTCCAAGATCAAGGAGGAAGA